ACATCACACATAGAGCACAGGCGTAGAGTACATCACACACACAGCAGAGGCGTAGAGTACATCACACACACAGCAGAGGCGTAGAGTACATCACACACACAGCAGTGGCATATAGTACATCACACATACAGCAGTCCAGAAGCCCGAAAGTCTAGTGGGACCATCTGTGTGCTGTATATGAAAACGGATCACCTGGTAGTGCCAAGGAAAGAGATTCAGTGGAACCAGTCCATGGTAGACCACTGGGTGAGTGACAGTGGGTGGGACAGCACTTAGCTCAGGGACAAATATTGACGTCTTCCAAAAGAGTTTTGGATAGACTGTCAGAGCTGGTGTTCAGAACACCTCGGGGGGTGCAGTGTTCATGGTTTGATGTCGTCTTGTCGTGGTCTTCCGGGTGATTTTGGTAGCTTCTTTCTTAGGCGAAACAAATTGCAGCTGAATATGCAGGACATGTGACCTGAGGGCCACGCCCACTGCCTGACATTAACCTCGACTTCTTGCACCCAGATTAATTCCTCTGTATCTCTCGTTTGTGCACCGTTGATCCTCAGAGCATGAAGTTTCGACCAACCAGCCCTGCAGTCACGAGACGATACCAGCTAACGTTATATGCTAACTTTAGTGATGTTTTCCTGTTGGTTGCCATAGTAATCGGTACCTGCCACCTGCCCATATAGCAGCATTGAGTCCGGTTCCTTAGGTGTTTCTGCTGTTAAGTGTGACCTGTTGTTCTTGCTGTCATGTATGAAATTTCATAGCATTTTTATATATTTTCCAAGCTGCAAAGGACATTCTTTACTGAAAGGGTAATACGAAAAATGCAGTTTGATTATATTTTTCTCCAAGCTGTGAATTCAGATGAGGATGCTTCATGGCTGCCCTTCCCTGCCCCCCCCCCCACACCCCCTACCAATCCCAAGTGAATCCTGATTTAATTTAACCTTCTGGGTATCGATGAATCACATGCTTTGGAGAGCAGGTCCGGCACACGGTCAGTAACTTTGAACCAGCGCCACTATAACGAATCCCTACCAGTTTTCAGACTGGGGGGTTTCAGTGATCACTAATTTGGGCACAAACCCCCCCCCCCCTTTTTTTTTTTGTAAATGGACAGAAGCCAAAAAAAAGCATAAAATTCACTTAAAGGACAAAATTTGAGCAGCATCATAAAGCAGCTTAATGTTTTTAAATCTTTTTTTTTTTTAACACAAGTGGTGTGGAATCACGTGGCAGGTTCCCTGGGGGGGGGCAGTGCCTAGTGAAAACACCCCACTCGTGTTGGAGGCCCATGTCCCTCCTCTCGCCCCTGCCCCCCTCCCTCGTTCCCCATTTTTGGCTCTGCAAATAGCCTTGCTGCATTGACTGCCTTGGTTAAAACCCGCCACGCTCTGGCCCGAGTAGGTTTCAGACCCGCGGGTCCCGCCAGAGCCCGGCTCCGGTTTTAACGAACGGGCCCCAAAAGCGGTTCCCTGGCGCATGGTGGTGTGGGATTGCGGTTCCATTGCTTAGACCTGAATGGAAGGCTTGGAGCCGGCACGGTCTTTTCCGGAAAACGAGGCGCTCTGCATCCCTTCCTTGTGGTTATATGCTGCCGTGGCATATGGAAAAGAATGCCCTGTTGCATGAGAAGATGTGCATTGTCCTCCGTGTCTGTGTATCTGTGGGCCAATCGGGGCCGAGCCCTTTGATCACATGACCTCTCGCCCCACCACCCCCGAATCCTCCACAGCACGAAGATCGAGAAGGAGAAGAAGGAGCACGCCCGGCAGCACGGCATGATCCGCACCGAGATCAGCGGCGCCGAGATCGCCGAGGAGATGGAGAAGGAGAGGCGGTTCTTCCAGCTCCAGATGTGCGAGGTCGTTGCCAACCTCCTGCCACTAGAGGGCTCACTTCCAAAAGCAGGGTGGTGCTGGAAGGAGCCATTTAGCTTTGTTTGCCTTGCATTTAGCCAGGGGCCTTTGCCTTAGGAAAGAAAGATATTTGAGATACTATTTGCAAGTGAAGTAGGTCTTCTGAGAGCAGTGATCTAATGAAAGAAGTTTACAGCAGATATTCTACTCCCCCATGATTTGGAACATGAGGACCATTGGTGTATCTGTACTCCTTGAGGGGTTTTAACCATGAAACATGGATTCCGCTTTGCAGTATCTCCTCAAAGTGAACGAAATAAAGATCAAGAAGGGTGTCGACCTCCTGCAGAACCTCATCAAGTATTTTCACGCCCAGTGCAAGTAGGTTTGGGAATTGATCTGGGAATCGGTAGTCTTTTCTGACAGAAGTGTCACGGTGCTCCTGTGTCTCCCAGCTTCTTTCAGGACGGGCTGAAGGCCGTGGACAACCTCAAACCATCCATTGAGAAGCTGGCTACAGACCTGCACACGGTCAGTCCTTTTGCAGCACACTCTTTGATCATTTGATCTTGTGGGCAAGTCTCATCCCCACAACCTCCTGGCCTCTTCTCGGCAGATCAAACAGGCGCAGGACGAAGAGCGCAAACAGCTGACCCAGCTGCGGGACATCCTGAAGTCGTCGCTGCAGGTTGAGCAGAAGGAGGTAAGATCCCCATCGCTGTAGCCCGCTGCAGGTCTCTCACCCCAGAACACGCTGCAGCTGGTCCCTGATTTAAACCTAAATCTGCCGCTGATTTTTCACCCTCCGTAAGATCGGTCAGTGAGCATATAGAATCTGACTTGGCTCTCATACGGCCTGCTGCGCCCCCTCAGGAGCAGAGTTTGACAGCCCCGTGTGCTTGTAGCCGACGCAGCTGATAGGATGATTAGTTTTGCAGGGGTTTGTGGGTATTATGCCCGCCCTGAAGCCTTGTCTGAGGTATGCTCTTCTCTCTCTCTCTCTCTCTGCTGCCCCGACCTTTGTGAACGAAGTCTAGGACAGTAAGTGTACTCATGGGGAATCCCTGTGCCCCTCCCCCATTGTGTCACCCAAATCAATGCACCATCCGTCTGTCCATGTCGCACCCAGGGGGTCAGGAACATAAACCTGGATTTACACAGGAGCCTGTGCATTTACTCTTGTAATCCA